GTCTGATCGGAGGTCCTTGGCCATTTCATGCGTCGCGATGGCAACCCCTTTGGCATCACTGACAAGCTCTTGGACGGTGAGCGCAGGACAGTCATCACCGGCTGGATCCACACAAAGCTGCCTGGGATGAGTTCCATCAACCTCAAGAGACAAGGATGGAGGAATCTTCTTGAGCTTTTTCTTGTTGGCGACCTTTCCATCAGCCCCTCTGTGGCGCGACTCTGAATGTGAGCTTGAAGCTCAGAATACTGCACAAATTGAAACGGCTTGGACAAGAGAGATCCAGCTTCCTTCAATGCCTTCCACGGATCTTTGGCAGCTAGAGCCTTCTCAGCGACAGGCAAAGTGAGTTTGCGAATGGCAGCCTGCGCACGTGACTGTAACTGATCGGCTGGTACACCCTTGGAATGAAGGATGTCAAGCAAGCGTGGTGATTGCTGCTTCATCTTTTCCCCGCCCTTGCCGTAGCTGCTTGGACAAAAGCATCTGATGCCACAACTCAGCTGTAGCTTCATCGGCCTGTTGCCAAAGCTTGAGGATTACACCAAGGTTGAGTAGTGCAACTGCTCCACAGTGAGATCCATGTGTTTGAGGCACACAGTGTTCAGCCTTGACAATGGGTTTGGAGGTACCTGCAGCTCTTGAGAAACGTGCAGCCAAAATGTCAGTGTCAGCCGGGAGCTCGGCCTGGAACCCATCAAAGAAGCGAGCAACTGTGGTTTCACCTTCAATGGAAATGTGAAAAACAATCCAGTGCCCATCAATCCAAAGGAATCCAAAGTTCTGCTCATGAACGAGGTACTTCTTGATGTCATCACTGGCAGTAGCGGGCCACGTCTCCAACAAGCTGGTTATGTGCCTCGGGCTCCAGAGTTGAGTATCGGCAAGTCCAGACTTCTGCATCAATCTCCTGGCTTGCTGCAACATCGTTAGGTCATCGAGTCCCTGTCTTTGGAAACAACAAGGAATGCCTTGCTTCTCCAGATCAAACTGCTCCCCACATCCCACAAGAGGGGGATGAAAATGAATGCTGGCTGTCCGAAGCAGTGCATCATTTGCTAGGAGGCGATCTTGTTCCCACATCAACGCCCAGCTTGCAGCAAGCAAGACGAAGTTGGCCAACAGTGCAGGGCGTGTCAATGGCAACCTGAAAGCTGGGCTCCTGATGAACATTGACAGTGATACCTCGCTTCTCATACATGCCAACAATGGGCCAACGCTCAGCATGTGACAAGTTGTGGATGTTCAAGAACTCAAAGATCATGCCGTGCTGATCAAAGTCCGGTGCATCAGTGACCTGCCTCAAAAAGCTGAGCATCCAGTGGTGCTGCCACTTGCCCAATGAGGGGAAGATCATCTCTCACTGCAGCACTATGCACGAAGGTGCCAGGAATGGTGACCGACCAAGAGGATTGTTTGGGATGCAAATGACGTAGTCGATGCTGGTCGTCCTATGCAGGCCCTGTGAAGCAAGAAGCGCCTCTGACAGTGGACCTCTGCAGCCACAGGAACAACCTCTAGCCTGATGTCCCAAAGAGTGCAGCAGTGTAGGTGCATGATGGTTAAAATCCAAGAGATTATCATCTGTGCCGTGCTTCTAAAAGATGAGTTTCCTGATCATCCAAAGCTAAGGCATGCTCAACCTGATCACTCCAACGGGGCCAAACCTTGAGCAAACCTGCTATCGATTGGTTGACCTGAATGAACGGAAGATCAACTAGCTGCGGAAGCGAAACGTCAGTCGGAATGAGGAGAGCCCACCATCTCTTTCTCCTACACGGCCAGGCCTGCTCCAGTTTCAGGACTACAGACGTCCAATGAAAGGAACGAATCTTGCAGTACTCATCGAGGAGACGAATGATTTCAGCATTCTTGCCCGCAAGTCACATCAAGAACTCTAAGAAAAACTGCAGCCCGAGCGTCACGAAAAGCTAGTTTTGATCCTATCGATGCAAAAGGTTGGCAAGGAAAACCTGCCACGACTCCACAAAGATGCCCCTGAGTGCGATTTTGGATAGCAAGCCAAGTGGCCGAGTCACCGATGTCACCCAAAATTGGCGAAGGGTGTTTGTTCCGGGTCATGGCATCAACAGCCAACTGCTTGAAGTCCACTCCACACATGGGATGGAACCCTGCGGCCACTGAACCCAAACTGGTTCCACCTAAACCTGAGCAAAGTTCAACATGAAATCGGGGGCTTTTCGAAAAGCTTGAAAGACAAAAATGACTTGAGCGATCTGCAGCAACGCAATGAGCCACTCCGGCCTTAGCAACCTTACTGAGAATCCAGGCATGGATCGAAAGCACAACACCCACATGCGCCGTCAGATCCAGAACAACTCGCTGCTTCGAGGCGAGAGTGATCCACCTGCCATGCTCATCCATGGCCACAACCAAAGTGACGCAGCTGCCTTCGTGCTCAGGCAGCAGCGTCCCCCAAACCAGAGGATTCAAAACGGGTTCCACCATCCGCCTGACTTCCGCCGTCTAAGTCTACCCCTGTAAGGACTCGGGCCGAGACTAGGCCCACTAGTTACAACACCTTCTAGTTACTGACTACCTAGCACTCTAGTTGCTGAATACTTAGCCCTTGACTTGAGGGAACGGAAAGAAGTGCTGGGTCCGATCAACAGAAGGTTTCAACAAAAATTAGTTGCTGACTATTTAGCAGATCTTAATTAGGTGCACTAGTTAGCGAGCGGGACATTCGTCTTAAACCGCCCGGGTAGATAGGAGTAGGACAGGAGAAACAGAAGGAAAGGTACCGACGCGCAAGTGTGTCGAGTACCATTTCCTTCTGTTGCCATAGATAGCGGATAGAAACATGAATTCGGGTGCAAGGTGGGGGGGTGCGGAAGTGAGAGTGCATGGAAAAGTTCGATCGCAAGTGGAAAAGGATTTGGACATCGCAATCCAAAACATGTTCTGTTGCGCAAGTGGAACACAGTTCAGTGGGTAAATCCGTGAGGCCCGGCGGCTTGGAGTGCTGAGAATACAGTAGTGAAGCCACAGGTCCGTTAAGATAATCCAACGCGTGCAGAAAACGGCATAGTTCAGTGAAATGGTAATCCGGCATGAAAACAGCGCCCCAGTGACGGGAATCGCACTGTGCACCCAAGTGGGACGGCGCAGCGGGACACACTTCGAAAATTGGTTTGCAGTTAACTCAATCAATTCCCAAGTCAAAAGGAGTGATGGAACGGAATGGCGCACATCGGCAGAACTGAAAGGTTGAACATTGTTTGCGCAGCGACCGAAACGCACGAGTGGCTGAAAGCAGCGGAAGGAACTGTTTAGGGGTGTATCGTGACAACGACCATGGAAGCAAAACAAAGGAAGTGGACAGCGTGTTCAAAAGTTCAAAGCTGTCGCAGGTACGTGAGTCGAGCGTCCTCGACTCATATCACTGGAAACGTGCAGCGTCTTCGTTGGTCGCTGACTGCACGAGTCCCCAGCGACCCCCTGTTTTTCATAAAACTCTTTGGGACAGAGTATGACGCACACACACCGCGCCCATGATGCTGGTGATGCATTGTGTTCATTTGCGCGCTGCCTGGGGTTCATGTTGCTATCGTAAGATGTGATGACGTGGTCATGGGCCAATCGTTCCATTAGATTTCCACCCCACCCACACACACACACGCTTATAGAAATGCGTGCTGATGTGAATGAAGCGCCACACGTCGGCCTAGGTTACCATTTCCTGAGAGTGCAAGGAAGAACCGCCGAATCCTGGAGGTCTTCAAAAGGAGAAGGGGCCAAAAGCTCAAGTCGAGATCGAGATGACAGGACGTCGTCGTGCGCTCTTGTCTGCCGCTGGTACTAGCCCTTTACGCAAACTTAAAAGTTGATGCAGGTACGTCAGCAAGCGTCCTTGCTGATATATCAGCGCTGCCTGAAGAGCCTCTTTGTTAGATGCCCTCTCTTCAGGTGTGGGGCATCCCCCCCTGCGAAAAATCAAAAGGTAAAGACAACCCAACAGGAAACTCGTGACCCCAGAGCAACGCCTCCCGAGGGGAGGCGTCATTTTCAGCTAAGCTGGAACAGGGGGGAAGAACTCATCACACTCTGAGGCTCTGACCGGTTCCAATGAACCTTGAACAAGCTTCGGCCGCTGCGGGCGCGTACGCCGTGCCAAAATGGCTGGCAGCTTTGACCGCTGTGGTCACGTAATGACATAAGCCAGCTTAGAATTCAATACTTGGTCAAATCTTGGCAAATGACTTTGGCCTAGGCCACCTGCGCTCGCTGCGAGCTGCCTTGTATCCGGACAATGGATACTTTCGACTGACCCCCCCCGGCCAGCATCAGATGGCAGACAAATGGCCACATTAGAGCATAGAGAGCTGTGTGTGTGTCGGTTGTGCACAGATGTAAGATGTGATGATGTGGCCAATGGCCAATCATGCCATTAGATCCCCACCCACCCACCCCACCGCCCCCCCTCCCACCCCCTCACCCTCCCCACCTATGGTGGTCGTTACTCTTCTGTCCCCGTGACCTAAAAAGAAAGTGGTGCTCAGTGTCACCTCTGACCACCTGCCACGCAAAATGCCATACGCACAGGTAATTACTGTATATTGTTGCGGTTGTGTTTGCGGTTGTGTTGTGGGTCCGAGAGTGCCCACTGTGATCTGGCGCTTGCTGCTGTGAGGCGAGGCGAAGGAGAAGGAGGAGGAGGAGGAAAATGAGTTGTGGGTTCCTCTTTTAGAATCTAACCACCCTCACCCGACAGGTGGGGAAAAAACCGGATGAGAAACTCTGAGAAACCAAAGTGTGCTTTGCACGCTTCACAGCTTGGTGTTTCAATTGTTTTTCATCTAAGTATCTCTCATTTGATTTCAGCTTTCTTATGCGGTTCTCCTGTGTGAATGATAGGACGGCATAGTGGCTCCCAACACCGCTACAGCTGGTATACCAGTTCCCTTTCCCCAGTACACCACATGAATTTTGGCCGTGATGAGGCATGATCCACGGTTGCTCACTAACTGGCACCTCAGGCTTGGATGAAGCTCCGCAGCTTGGTTGCCGGGGCTCAGCTTGCCACTCGCCGTTTCTTGGAACTGCGCTCGCCGGTGCTGTGCCGTTCCCTTACGCTGGAGAGCACACCCTTTCGGGCTGCGATTTTCACTGCAGAGGAGCTCCTACTACGGCTACAGCAAAAACTTCCAACATATACAGTTCTCACAAACTGGGAGGTAGCCCGCGGTAAACAAGCCTTCAAATACTATGCAGATATGGATTGCACTACCCGTGCCGCACAGTTTCTAGAGTAACACTTGTTTTGGTTCGCCCAAAATGGAAAACTGCACATGTCTCAGTGCACCGAAAACACACGGCTACGAACGCATCAACACATCAGAACTCAGTTTGACGCCACAGAGAACCCACGAGATAGCCGTTCGCCCAGGGTATTTTACCCTAGCCTTTTCTGTCAAAGCTCCTCAAAGATGTTTCCACAATGTTTTTTGCAGTTGTAGATGGTTTCCTTTCCTATCAAATACGGGGATGTACCCCACCGATTCTCGCCACCTGATCCTCAGTCTTTCTCGCGCACTGCCAAGCAGCAGGCGACCGACACGATGTTTCAATCTTTCAATATACTACAGTTGCCACCTTTTTCCAAACACAGTTTTCCTTGAAGTAACCTTTTGGAAGATAATGTTCTTCCCATGTTCTGAGCAGCATTTGCCAACCCTGCAACAAGCCAATCATTTAATTAGTCGGAGGTTACCCAAAAATTCCTCACATGTTTCCGATTGCACTTGGTTTTGTATATCAGCTTGAAAGTATGAACAATCCCATCGCTGACCGATGGAAACTCTGCTGTGCGCACCAAAATGAAGCTCCGCGAGCACAGAGCGGCTCTCAGTGGAAACTGAATGGCGTGACAGTTTCGTGAGAATTGATTGCAACTCTGGGCCTATGCGCGATCCGTGCAATGATCCGTGCTGTGCGCGTCATGGTTGCCATGCATCGTGCCTTGGCCGTCCCATCTATGGCCACGCGCGGTAGAGCCTCTCGGGTTTTGGCTCATTTCTTAGAGAAGAAAAGGCTTGGTCTAAAAAAAGACGAAAAGAACATTATTTTTGTTCCCTCACAACTCAATACTGAACTTCTTCACCATCTGATTGGGCGACATGTCCAACAATTCACTCAATGTGTCTCGAACGATTCCATAGCTTCACGTTTGAATTGCGTCAAAAATGCTACTAGGAGCATTCTTGCTACTAGGGGCTCCTACTAGTCGGGTACAAACCACTCTCCCCAGGCCCTTCTCTTAGGAGCCTTTATCGAACCATCCACATCTGACTCACGGTCTAAACCAATCTCCGATCCTTCCAGGGGAATCCTTGAGTCCTGGCAGCAAACACAGCAGCAATGGCCTCCAACGCTAAGAGCGATGGCCTCCACCCTAAGAGCG